GGATCAGACTCTGATCCATAGTGTCCCTGTTGCTCCTGTCACTGCAGTGTCCAAGGGCTGGAGCTGTAAAGGGGCAAAGGTGCCTAAATCCCAGAATCAGGCCCCCTGGGGTTCACAGAGTTCCCCTCCCCCCGCCCCCCCCCCCCCCGCCGCCGAGCCCCATAGGTGCCTGATCTCACTTGGCACCTTTGTTTGTGCAGTAACAGTTCCTTCGGGATCTATGTTCCTGCCTCTGGGCCTGCGCCCTGCAGCTTCCCGCTAGGTGCCTGGATGCCTGAGCCCCAGAGCGATGCATGGACCTAGGGACTACAGGTGTCCTCCACCTAACTCGTCTGTGGGCCCAATGCGGTGGGTGTGCTCAGGCCGCTTGCTGGATCGGACCCGCACACGGGCTCAGGCAACAGTGTGGGAGGAGCCCAGTGGTTTGGGCATTGCCTGGGGTGTGGGAGACTCCTGGTTCCAGGCCCCCTCTGCCTGCGGGGGAGACAGGATTTGAGCAGGGCTCTGCCACCTCACAGGGTGCCCTAGTCCCTGAGCTGTGGGGTACTCTGCTGTGGGGCCCCCTCCATCACTCCTGTGGGAGTTGTTCCTCTGGGGAGAACTAGAACTGGGCCAGAGAGCAGGGGCGTGAGAACGGCTCTGTAGCTGGGTGGTTGGAGCTTTCACCCGGGAAGTGGGAGACCCTAGGTCCAGTCCCTCTGCTCCACTGACTCTTTAATTTGTTAGCCAGGGAGGAGCAGCGTCAGCAGCCCTGCTTGCCGGATCAGGCCGTCTGATTGTGACTGAAGGGGAGTGAAATGGACAGTGGCTGGTGCTGGCAGGAAGGACGCAGGGCGTTCAGCAGCCGGAGGAGCTGAGGGGAAGAAAAGGGGAGAGCTCTGTCCTCGTTAGATCCGTCTGTTCTTCAGCTCAGACATAAGCCAGGGCAGGGCTGTGCCTGTTGTGTGTGTCCAGCGCCCAGCACGGGGTAGCTCTGGTCTGTAACTGGCAATTACGAACTAGGGAACAAGGCCCCGATCCTGCAAACAGGGGGACTGTTTATTTGGGCATAAGCTTTTGTGGGCTGGAACCCACTTCGTCAGATGCATACACAAAAGCTTATGCTCAAATAAATGCATTAGTCTTTAAGGTGCCACAGGACTCTTAGTTTTTTTCAATGTGCAGTGGCAATCAAGCAAGCTAAGAGAGTGTTGGGAATCATTAGGAAAGAGATTGATAAGACAGAAAATATCATATTGCCTCTTTATAAATCCAAGGTACGCCCACATCTTGAATACTGCATGCAGATGTAGTCATCCCATCTCAAAAATGATATATTGGAATTGGAAAAGGTACAGAAAAGGGCAACAAAAATGATTAGGGGTATGGAATGGCTACTACATGAGGAGAGAGTAGTAAGATTGGAACTTTTCAGCTTGGAAAAGAGACGACTAAGGGGGATATGATGAAAGTCTATAAAATCAAGACTAAAGCTATGTTTTTTTTCCACAGAGGTCGTGGAAATCACGGAATCTGTGACTTCCAGCAAACTCCATGACTTCAGCCTGTGGTGGCTGGAAGCTGTGGGGTCCCCCTGCCACCTGTAGGAGCCGGGAGCGGCGGGGGGGGGGCTCCGTGGGCTGTGGGGGAAGCAACCACTCCCAGTTGCCGTGGGCGGCAGGGGGACCCGGAGCTCTGAGTGGCCCGCAGTTGCCTAGCCCCTGCAGGCGGTGTGTGGGCCACGCAGCTGAGCTCTCCATTTTGCCATGGATATTTTTAGTAAAAGTCATGGATAGGTCATGGGCTTCCGTGAGCTTTTCTTTGTTGCCTGTGACCTGTCCAGGACTTCTACTAAAAATATCCATGACAAAATCATAGTCGTCTTCATGACTGGTATGGAGAAAGTGAATACCGAAGTGTTATTTACCCCTTCACGTAACACAAGAACTAGGGGTCACCCAAGGAAATTAATAGGCAGCAGGTCTAAAACAAACAAAAGGAAGTATTTCTTCACACAACGCACAGTCAGCCTGTGAAACTCCTTGCCAGAAGATGTTGTGAAGGTCAAGACTATAACATGATTCAAAAAAGAACTAGCTAAATTCATGGAGGATAGGTCCATCAGTGGCTATTAGCCATAATGGGCAGGGATGGTGTCTCTAGCCTCTGTTTGCCAGAAGCTGGGAATGGGCAACAGGGGATGGATCTCTTGATGATTACCTGTTCTGTTCATTCCCTCTGGGGCACCTGGCATTGGCCACTGTCGGAAGACAGGATACTGGGCTAGATGGACCTTTGGTCTGACCCATTATGGCCGTTCTTGTGTTCTGAATAAATTATAGTAAAATGTATGCACAGCCGGTGTCCTGACTCCCACCTGTAGCTTGGACACATCCCTCTGCCCACCTTGACTTCCCCAGCTTCAGCTCCTGCATCTCCTGTCCCCCAGTCCTCCTGCCCCACCCTCTCCCATAACACCCCCTTCCTTTTCCCCACACCGCACTCCAGCACTGCCCCTCCTCCTGGGCCCCCTTTCCTTCTTCACACTCCCCTGTACCCCCAATACACTCTCCCCATATGCTCCCCTACTCCTCACACATGATCAAGCCCCCCTGTACCTCCCCACCCCGTCCCCTTCTCACTCCCCCTCCAGCCCTGCCTCCCCTTCTCCTTCTACCCCACCATCGCTTTCTCCCCGGTCGGGCCGTTCTGTGAGCCCTTTCCCAGGTCTCCCTCCCACAGGAGCGCTCCTGAGGGCTGGCGTCACCTCTTGTGAATTGCCAGGGGCTCCCTGGCAGGGTCTGGTTGGGTCTGACTCCCCCATCTCTCCCCCCCACCCCCCTTTCAGGCTTGCACTCCAGGCGCGTATTGGACACGGTGGTGTCGGAGCCCAGCCCAGGGCTGCCCTGGTACAGCCGTGTTGTGTATGTGGACGATCAGGTCATCTACGTCTACACCAGCGGGATGCAGAAGGCGGAGCCTCGCACAGCGTGGATGGCGCAGAACGAGGGTCCAGAGTTCTGGGACGAGAGGACCTGGTGGGCACAGCGCCATCAGAAATGGTTCAAAGCGAGTTTGAACACCCTGGGTCAGCTCTACAACCAGAGCGAGGGTGAGTGAAGGACCCGACCCGACCTAGGGACGTAGGGACATGGGGGTGGGGGGGAAAACACGTGGTTGATGTAAACAAGGTGAAGGGACACAGGGATGCATGTTGGGGATTGGGGGAGGGGACAGCCCTCAGGCGTTTTGTCGCTGGAGTCAGTGTGAATGTGGGGGACAAAGGGACATGGGAAGGGGCTGCAGGATGGAGGGTCCGCAGGATGGAGGTTCCATGCGAAAGACATTTTTGACACCCTCCAAAGTGGGACTCTCATACTGTTCCCTCCCCAAACACCCCAGATTTCTGCTACCAATCCCACTTGCAGTTGCCTCTGCTGCCCTTTAGGGGACCCCCTGCCGCTCATGTGTGGTTATTTCCCAGGCATAGTGGCAGAGGTGCGAAAGCCAGAAGTTACTATCAGACCTGGCTAGTCTGATCTCCTGGTCACTGAGGCCGGAGGATCGCACCCAGTGATTCCTGCATGGAGGGGTTTGTTCCTCCCAGCTACGACAGTGATGCTGTCAGACCCTATAGCTAGAACAGGGCTCTGAGACGTCTTGTCTCAATTCCCAGACACCGAGTGATGGGGAATCCCAATATCGACAGCCCCAAATGTTCAGAGACAAGTCAGGCCCCAAAAATCCTGAGTTTGCCTTAAATGTCATGAGGATTTTGGGAATAATATTGGAGCTTATTTTTATTTGCCCTCTGGTTTGAGCCTTTAGGGAACAAATTTCTGGGGTTTTCCCTGTTCCTAGAAGGACTAGAAGTTACTGCTGTAAGAAAAGAGAGCTGAGACTCTCCTCTAATCCCATAAATCCAGGAACTGGGGATTTAATAAAACCACCCCCCAAAAAAAATTAGAACTGGAAGGGACCCTGAAAAGTCATTGAGTCCAGCCCCTTGCCTTCACTAGAAGGACCAAGTACTGATTTTGCCCCCTATCCCTAAGTGGCCCCCTCAAGGATTGAACTCACAACCCTGGGTTAAGCAGGCCAATGCACAAACCACTGAGCTCCCCCTCCCAATATCATCATGAGACGCACAGTAAAGTCACAAAAGTGGGCAGTGCTGCATTCACTCCAGCCCTGGGGAGAATCTGCTCACCAGTGAGCCTCCTTCATTGTTTGTTTTGTCTTATTTCCAGAGTGAGTTTATCTAAGGTCAGACTCCTCTTTGCTTTGCAGAGTGAGGGTCTGACATCGACTTGGGCTGGAGAGTTAGTTAGAGAATCAGCCCCTGCAACGTGCAGAGACTCCCGGGCTTCCTTACTTCTGGCAGCACAAACCCCAGCACGTGTCCCCTGGTTGGAGCCCCTGGGGTCAGGCAGGTTCCCCTGCACGCTATCGATAGATGTGTAAAGAGCTGTTCTTCCTGCTCGGTCCCCAGTGTGTGGGGCTGTAGCCACCTGGCCAGGCCCCCGATTGGGCTGTCTCACTTGGCTTGGTGATGATCCATAAGTGTTCAGTGCCTGGCACTGCTGAACTGTCCCTGGCAGGTGAGGGTCTCTCTGATGTAATTGCTCTGCCCTTCCTGATAGGGGACTGGCGAGTGAAAATCCCTGATTCCCCCGTGTCAGTGGTACTAGCCTGTCACATTGGTCCTCACCCAGGAGTGTCCCCAGCCCCTTGTTCTAACACCCCCCCTCCTGCCCAATCCCTCCTGTCTCCCAGCACTGGGACAGCAGCAATGAGAACTAATTCCTGTCCTGCCCTGAACACCTGGGTTCCTGGCGGCCCTGCCCCAGGACTAAGCGACAGGGCAGAGGGTTGCCAAGTGTCTGCCCCCCTAGCCCACCCCCTCTGTAGCTAGTTTAACCCTCTCGTGACTAGTCTCACCCATTGGTCCCCTGTTGCTGAGCCTGTCCAGCCTGACCTGCTCACACGGACACTGGCCTCTCCAGTGCTGAGAGAGGGGCTCCGCTCGCCCGCCCCTAAGCCTGCGCTGGGGAGCTGCTGTTCTGTCCCCGCTGCCCCCTCCTGCTTCCTCCCCCCATTTGCCCCCTCCTTGCAGTCCTGGGGCTGCCAGCTTGCTGGAGACTGTCCTGAGTCTTGCACCTTGGCCACCAACAGTGTTCCCCTCTCTAGCTGCGTCTGCCCCCAACATGGGGGAATTCGGGGTCTTGTCCCTCTGAGATGACATCCGTGCCCCCACCCTGCTCATCCCTGTGGAGTGCAGAATGGAGGAGAAGAGAGGTGGGTGGGGAGGCCTGTCCCACCCCACTCCTCTCGGGTGCCTGGCTTGGGATCTCTGCGTGTTCTGTGACCAGCCGCCCCGCACCTCTCAAGAGTCTCAGTGGTTCTCTCGTTACACCATCCCTTTTCCACGCAGTTGTTTTCTCACTTTTTGACTTTAGTTGATTGGTATAAATAGTTAGTTGGACTCTCATAGCAGAGTTTCTTCTGCTCCTGCAACTGAGCATGCCTCGGTCTCTGGGCTTCAAACCCGGTGTCTCCTGCGGCAAGCCCATGCCTTTGAGCAACCTGCACTCTAGCTGTCTAAAGTGCTTGGGTGAGACCCCTATTGCGGATCGCTGTCAGCTCTGCCACCAGTTCAGTGCAGGGGAGTGCAACCTGTGTCTGGCTACTCCTCTGCCCCTGCTCCGCAGGCAATACCATTGACTCCGCCCTGTTCACAGGCTCTGTTGAGTCCAGTACCCGACCAGCCGCCAGCACCAGAGGGGCAGTGAGGCACCAGCAGGGTTGCGGTACCATCCATCCTGGAGGTGTTTGTTGTGGCCAGGGACTTGCTGGCATGTTCGCTACCACCGTTGCTGGCTGTACAACAGTTGGTGTCAGCAGTGCAGGCAAGCAGAAGGGAGCATGATGCCCCGAGCTCCCATTTGGTACCAGGCCCCTTGCTCTCTTATGTTGAAGCAGGCTTCCCCATCTTAGCACCGATCCCTGGATCCTCAGCACCGTCCCTTGGAGCCGACGGGTACCACACACCCCTCGTCCCCACAAGATGACTCATCATCCAAGTTGGAGTTTGAATCTTGCACCCAGCCAAGGGACTGGTACCAGTACCCCACCAATCAGCCCTATGCAATGGTGGATCCCGGGATTGGGGGTCCTCCGATCGCCTGGCCCAGTGGGCAATGGTCCATGCAGATGTAATGGCCTTTTCGGAACCCCTGGGGTTTTCCTCTGCTGCCTGTACCCCCGTCTAGGTGCTCCTACTCAGTGGTGTCTGAGAGAAGGCTTCCTCTGTTACACCAAACAGCAGCTGATCCTGACTACGATATTGAGCCAGGTACAGACTCTCAGAACCTGGAGCGACAGGATCCGGTTGGTGCAGAAGGAGAGGAGAAAGGTCCCATGCTGGTGCAGACTGCCTCCTCCACCCCAGAAGAGGCAGGGGTGGGTGTTTCACCTCCCCAGGACATTTCAAGGCTCACCAGGAGTTATGGAAGAAAGTGGCCTTGAACTTAGGGCTGGAAGTGGAGGTAGTTAAAAAGTCTTCCAACAGCCTGGTCAACATCTGGACTGCAGTGGCCCTGTCGAAGGTAGCTCTGCCTCTCAATGAGGCCATCATAGGTCCAGTTAAAACCTGTGGCAGACCCCTTCCTCACTGCCCCCCACATCAAGGAAGGCAGATAGGAAGTACTATGTCTCCACCAAAGGGTAGGAGTACATATGTTCCCAACCCTCTCCTGGATCCTTGGTGGCCTCGGCAGCCAATGAGAGGGAAAGGCCAGGGTTGTAAGGGGCAACCCCCAAGTCAAAAGAATCAAAAAAGCAAGACCATTTTGGTAGGAAAATGTATTTTACCGTTGGACTACAGCTCCAGCCAGCAGGTCATTGGGTGCTGAGTATGGTGGAGGAGGGTTATACACTTCAGTTCGTTTCCATGCCTCCCTCCTACCCCCCATCCCTGTCCCTCTTCAGGGACCCTTTTCATGAGCAATATTTAGCCCAGGAGGTGCAAGCCATTCTCTGGGTAGGAGCGGTGGGGGAGGTGCCTCGGAATTTAAAAGGGAAAGGGTTTCACTCCCGTTATTCCTGTGATGGGTTCGGTCACAGAGATCCCCTTGGGACTGTCACTGATATGCTGAAATAATCTCTGAGCAGGTTTTCCCTGCCAGCTTGGGAATTCCAGAACCCTGTCTGGTTGAGCCAGACATGGTAGCCTGTTTACATAGACCCAGGGTCTGGGCCACGTTCCCAAAGCTGCAGGCTTTAGCTGAAAACTGCTCAGCAGGTTACCTGTCTCCAGCACCCAGACACCCAGTTCCCAATGGGATCCAAACCCCAAATAAATCTGTTTTACTCTGTATAATGCGTATACAGGGTAAATTCATAAATTGTCCGCCCCCTATAAGACTGATATAGAGATATGCACAGCTGTTTGCTCCCACAGGTATTAATCACTTACTCTGGGTTTATTAAAAAACAAAAGTGATCTTATTAAGTATAAAAAGTAGGATTTAAGTGATTTCAAGTAATAACAAACAGAACAAAGTAAGTCACAGAGCAAAATGAAACAAAACACGCAAGTCTAAGCTTAATACGTTAAGAAACTGATTACAGGAAATATTTCACCCTCAAAGATGTTCCAATAAGTTTACTTCACAGACTGGACTCTTTCCTAGTCTGGGCCCAATCCTTTCCCCTGGTACAGTCTTTGTTAGATCCAGCAGAGATCTCAGGCGATAAGTAGGGGTTTTTTCATGACTGGCACCCCCTTTTTTATAACTTTGGCACAAGGCGGGAATCTTGTGTCTCTCTGGGTCCCTGCCCCTCCTGCTAAATGGAAAAGTACCAGATTTAAGATGGATTTCACTACCAGGTGACATGGTCACATGTCTCTGAGACCTCTAGTCTCCAGCCCTCCTGGGTTGCTACCCCCCCCCCCCCACACACACACACAGGAAGGCTTTCAGGTAAATAAACCACGTACCATCAATTGTCTTAATCAGTGGGAGCGATCAAGTTCCTAATGCCCCATTGATGTCCCTCACCTGGTGTGACTACAACAGTGATAGAAGTTTATCTTATTTCCCCAACTCCAGACATAGAAATAATACATGCAAACAAATAGGATGAATACACTCAGTAGATTACAAGCTTTCTAATGCCATCATACAAGAGACCTTTTGCATAAAACATATTCCAGTTACATCATATTCACATTCATAAGCATATTTCCATAAAGCGTATGGAGTGCAACGTCACAATTCCTTAATCCTGAGTGCCAAAGGGGGTCTCTGACCCATTCTAGACCTGCAGCACCTCAAAGGCTGAAGCTGTGCATTGTCTCCCTGGCCTCCATCATTCCTTCCCTGGATCCAGGGGATGGGTACGCCGCCCTTGATTTGAAAGATGCCTATTTCCACATCTCTATTTTCCGAGGCCACAGAAGGTTTCTCAGGATCATTGTGAACCAGGCTCATTACCAGTTTACCATCCTCCCATTCAGCCTGTCAGCAGCCAAATGGGTCTTTATGAAATGCATGGTAATAGCGGCAGCCTACCTGAGAAGGTGAGGGGTGCAGGTGTATCCATACCTCAATGACTGGCTGGTCAAGGGCCAGTCCAAGTCCTAGGTAAAAGCCAGCATCCACCTTGTACAAGCAACCTTTCGAGCACTGGGCCTGCTGATAAACAACCAGAAGTCAACACTCATCCCAATTCAGAGGATAGAGTTTATCGGAACAGTGCTCGATTCTACCCAGGCCAGGGCCTTCCTCCCAGAAGCCCACTTCCAATCAGTGTTGTCACAGGTCAAGGCCCACTCAGGCTGTTGGGTCACATGGCCTCGTGCATATACGTGGTGTAGTATGCGAGGTTGCACCTCAGACCCCTTCAGGCTTGGCTGGCCTCAGCATACCGTCCAAACAGCCATCATTTGGACTCAGTGCTCGGACAGATCCCTGGTTGGTAGGCTTGGATGTTCCTTTGTCAGGCCCCAACCCTCGGTATCCCTAATGTTGGATGCATCCAAGCTCGGTTGGGGGCCCATCTCGGGCACCTCAGGACACAAGGTCAGTGGTCCCAGCAGGAACTCTTGCTACGGATAAACGTCAGAGAGCTCAGGGTGGTACGCCTAGCACATCAGGTGTTCTTACCCCACATCGCAAGCAAGGTGATGCGAGTTCTTACGGACAACATGGCAGCCATATTTTACATCAGCCGGCAGAGAGCAGCCTGCTCTGCTCCCCCTGCGTCAGGGGGCCATTTGCTTGTGGGAGTTCTGTATAAAGCACTCGATCCACCTCGAAGCTTCTCACCTTTCGGGAGCCCAGAATGAGCTGGCAGATCAGCTCTTCTCACCACAAATACTCCCTATGCCCCGACATAGCAAGGACCATTTTCCAGTGGTGGGTTACTCCCCTCGTAGACCTGTTCACAACCAGACAGAACAGGAAATGTCAGCAGTTCTGCTGTCTGCGTGACTGCGACCCGGGCTCGCTCACAGACGCCTTCTTACTCCAGAAAGCATCTGTTCTGCACCTTTCCCCCCATACTTTTTGTGCACAAGGTCTTTGCTGAACATCAAGGGCAAAGGTTATTCTCATAGCCTCAGCCTGCCATGTCAGCACTAGTTTGGCTTATTTCTAGACCTGTCAGTAGCAACTCCAATGCTCTTCCCTCCCCTTCTGGACCTGATCTCGCAAGATCATGGCCAAATGCTCCATCTGCCTAACAGCTCCACGGTTAAACCTGCAGAACGGGCCTATTCAGAGCAGGTCTGCTAGGTCTTGTTAGGCAGTAGGAAACCATCTACCAGAGCTACTTACCTCGCCAAGTGGAAGTGTTTCTCCTTTGGTCTACCCAGCAGGGCCTCTCACCCAGGTGCCAGAACCTCCCTATGAGTGGGGAGCCACCAGTGCTGAAACTGTGACTCCGCCTCTTCCCCTAATGCCCCCCCACTCCACCTCTTCTCCTGAGGCTCCGCCCCCTCCCCCCCAGCTCTCACCTAAAGTGGCAGGGCCATGGTCCCCCTGTTCCGGCACCCCTGCCTCTCACCCACTGAGTCATCTCTCAGATGAAGCAGATACTCCAGAACAAGTCTGGAAACAGCCAGGTCTAGCGATTTCACCTGTTAAGGTACACCTAGCAGCCATCTCAGCATTCTACCCCCTGCTGGGTGGTCGATCAGTTTTTTCACATGAAATGTCCATTCACTTCCTCAAAGGCTATACTCGCAAATCTGGGAACCCATCTGTGTAAACGAGGGAGGATAGCACCCTTGTGTAACTCCCCAACCATATTCAGTTAGCTGTAGAATCCTCCTTAGCAGCTGTACCCTAACTGCCTTACCTGTAAACGGTTAAGAGATAAACTTAAAATGAGTTGGCACTTGACCAGGGGAACCAATAAGAAAGCTGAACCTTTTCAAATTGGGAAAAACTGCTGGGTGTGTGGGTCTTTTGTTCTATATAGAAAGGACTACACAGAAAGTTGATCCGTAAATTCACACAGCTCTTTGTGGCAGTAGCTGATAGGATGAAAGCCCTACCCATTTCGGCTCAGAGAATTTCATCCTGGATCACATTGTGCATTCACATGTGGTACAAGCAGGTAGGTGTCCCACCACCTGCCTTCCTGACGGCCCATTCTGTGAGAGCACAAACTTCCTCAGTGGTGTTCATGGCCCAGGCCCGATCCAGGACATTTGCAGAGAGGCGACCTGGGCGTCAGACACTTTTTCTTCCAACTACGCTATCAACCAGCAAGCTAGACATGCACTGGGTTTGGTTGGGCAGTGTTGTAATCCACGTGTCTGTTGCCGGCCCAAAGGGCCCGAGGGGGCAACAGCGGGGTTCGTTGCCCGGTGTGCTTCGCACCAATGAACACACTGAGGTGGAGAAGCAATCCAAATTTATTCAAGAGCTCTGAATAAGCACTAGGAGACCAGCATGTCTCAAATCAAGTGCAACAAATACAAACAAGTTTCCCATTTTATACTCCAAGCTGTTTGTGTGCAAGCCTTTGTTCTGTTACTCCCTCTTACCCCTCCTCCGCCTCCCTCCTCGAGCAGTTACAGTTAGAAAAATTCCCATTCACATGCTTATCTTTGACCTTGCAAGCTCTACGCAGTAGGCCTTTCCCTTCCCCCTTTCCCCCGCATTATCATTACCGTTTTTGTTAGTGCGAGCAAAACTGCAGCTGTCTGCTAGAAAAAAGCTGACCATTACATATTCTGCTTCAGCATAGGCTATTAGCATGAAAGTAGGTGAAAGTTCACAAGATGGAGTTACTGTGGCTCACTTAGACCCAGAGCAGGGAGGTTTCATCGGCACTTATGGCCTTCCATCCCCCCGAGATACCTGGTAGCTATGCCTAGTGACACCAACATGTCCATGAACTTGGGAGTCACCGAACATGGAATGGATATGTGCAAGTATTTGAAGAAGAAAAAATGGTTACTACCCTTTCTGTAACTGTTATTGTTTGAGATGTGTTGCACACGTCCATTCCACGAGCCACCGTCCTACCCCTCTGTTGGAGTTGCTGGCAAGAAGGAACTGAGAGGTACGGGGTCAACCAGTCCCCTTGCACCGCAACATAAGAGTGCTGCACTAGAGGGCACTAGAGCCGGCCTGACGGGTATCACTGAGGGAAAAGTTTCTGGCGACTGTGTATGGGGCACGCACACTTAGTGTGGAATGGACGTGTGCAACACATCTCTAAGAACAACCGTTACAGGAAGGTTAGTAACTGGCTTTTGTCCAAACCTGTGGCATTGTTCAGGGACACAGCTTAGTGGGCTTGGGTCTCAGCTATGGCTGTGACACCAAATTGTATTTTAATGCCTTGGCCTACATTTTTCCAGAAGCGATTAGTGATTTTTGGGTGTCTGATATGCAGAGGCCGGGTGCTCCCACTTTCTGATCAGGCCCCTTTAAAAGGTTTCTGTTGGGCACCCAAAATCACTAGTCATTGCTGAAAATCTAGACATTTACCTCAATGTATCTAATGCAGGGTGGGGGAGGGGTGAAAATATTTGGGACCCTGTGTGGATTATTTTTATGCCCCCACATTCTGCCCTGGTTGCCAAGCTAGGGGTCTGATCCGTTCCCCACACGTTTGTCTTCCTCGTGTTCCGCACAGTGTTCTCTGTTCACCACAGCCTCCCTCCCTCTTCCCTAAATTCTCCTTCCTGTCCCCATCCCCACATCCCCCTCTCCCCCCCACCCCCTAGTCTCCCTCCTTGCCTCCTGTCAGCCCAGGGGTGGCTGTATTAACTGTGTCAGTTCTTGGTTGTGTGCGAGATGGTGGCCGTTGTTGTGAAGATTAGCCTGGCTGTAGGAAAATGGTGGCCAG